TCACCCATTCACGTAGCTAAGGGAAATAGCACCATTGCCCTAAAAAGTATGCTCCACAACCCAGATGTGCAGAAACGGCACTATCTGTATACAGATCTAAAATTTAATTTGACGACCAGTTTCTTGGAAATAATCTTGACCATTAAATTGTTCTGGGCACATATCTTGCTTCATTTCATTGTTTAACATAGTATGATGATGAGGCTTAGATACCCCCGGGTTGAATCGTACAATCTCCTCACAAACTTGTAAGAGAAATTGAGCTTCCGCAACAATGACTATAACTGCCGTAGAACTATTAATTAATGTTCCTACAGTATGATACATTTTTCAAGAGGTATTCTGTCAATTCTGATCAGCATCTGCATTGTTTCATTTTCTAAACCTACAAGACAGTGAGTGGGATAAACCGTTTTGTCATCAGTTAAGGGGAACCCACAGTTGAATACAAACCCCTTGCGATGTTTGCATTAATTTAAGAATGACTCGCTTTCTTTATCTGCAAATATGAAATCATCTATGTAAATAATGATCTTTTTTTTTTTTAATCCAGTGCAAGAATATTTGAAATTCTTAAAAGCTTTGTGTGAGAGAGGGAGATGCGTTGAAGACATTTATCAAAGTAATATATAGACCCTCTACTTTGAATCGTAAAAGGTCAAAATCCCCAGGGAACGTATGTAGAAACCTAAAGCTACTTTCACAAATTATGCACCTTCACCAACCTTGGCCAACATTTTTATTACTATTAAACGATGTATAATAACTGTGAACTTACTATGGTTTATACAGTGATTTTCACTGCTGTCTGCAGGATATGAAAGGTGCCTTATCAATCGCCACCCAGAGTTATCCCTCTTTGGCACCACTCCCACTGGAGATACTCTGAGATTACATATGGGTAACCCCCCCCCCCCCCCTCTTAATTCATCTTCTTTGTTATTATTTTATCATTATTCCTGCTTTGTACTGATAAGCTGAAATTAAATTGATATTTTTTATATGTAACATTGGACTTGAGATATAATGTCTGAACCCCCGAGAAAAACCCATGCACTCAACAATTTGTTGCTACAGGTTTGTTTGTATAACGATTAGTGTCGGATCATATTTAATATAGGAATTTTAATTGGTATGTTTCCTACGGTCAAATATTTTTAGCCATTTTCCTTGTATTTTTGGATGTGGGACTGAAATTTTTGTTAGGAGTTTGGTGGAGCTTGATGTCTTGTATATGGATTTCTATATTGTAAACTAATTGTGGTTGCATGGGCTTGGTTCGACCGAATGAGCTCTTAGTATTTTATTTACCTGGGCTCTTTAAAAATTGCATTGTATGACTGTGTCACTGTGCATGCCAACACCACTTGTACAACTGACACAGATTTGACTGCAGGACCCCTTAAAATTGAAATCAACGCACATTTTGTTTGAGAGCGTTGAGTCTGGAGAAATTCCAGTCAATAACTAGGATTCATGTACAACAACAGTTCTAAATCAACTAAGGCCCAAGAAATAAGGGATCTGTAGATTTCCGAAGACGATACTGCGTGAAATATTCAAACCCCAAGCGAACTGTATGGACAAACTTAGGATATCTATTGCTTTATCTGGATGGGCAGATATGTAAACAGATGCAAACATGAGCATGACATCCGTCAGTTTTTCAATTGGAAATATTTTTTGAGACAATTTTCTTTGTTACAATTTCTCCTGTGCACTTAGGGTTAGTTTTCATAGTTTTTTTTTTTTTTTTTTTTTTTTAATCAGTACCCCCCCCCCCCCCCAGTTTGAGTGAAAGCAGAGACTGTACTTCTACAAGCTGGAAGCCTGTAGACACCAGTTTGAAAGTTGGTGTTATAATCAGTGATATAAAGTAATATTTTACTGTTTGTAACGAAATAGTTATATGCTTACCTGTATTGACTATTGTTCTGATTTATTCAGTTGTTTTTTTGTTGTTGTTGTTTTTTTTTTTTTTTTTTTTTTTTTTTTTAGTTAAATAAAAAGTCATCAGTTACAAAGTAATGAAGCTGAAAAGAGTCAATTAGCCATAGATTGCATGATAAAGAGTTATAAAATTATTATCGATTACTTTAAATTTTTTAACTCGGGACAAAGATGGCGGCTAGCACATGGTGATGCAAAAAGACAAATTGAAATGAATCTCATCCTGATCTAAATTTAAACCTTTGTTATCGAGTAGATAAGTAAACAATACGAATTCATAAAAAATAGTAACTGCTATTTCTTAAATCTACGCTTAGCAATTGTTTTCTCAAATTTGATTAACACCAACCTTGCAACTAGCGTGTAACTGGCAAAGAGAGAGTTTGCAGCACGAGCACCTGTCTTTATATAATTGAAAGTTAGATAACTCGTGCTGAAACAAGGAGAGATAACTGCGCCAAAAAATATTGCGCTGCCAAGATAAAAGCATCTTATTCGCATATGGGCGAGATAGATGCTATATTATTTTCGAACCATTGATTTATTACGCAATTTTAACCTACAGTGAGGTAAAATTCCGATAAGTAAAAGAACTAAGATAGGACGAACTAAAGTTACATGTACCTTCTCATTCTGTTCATTTGATTTCTTTAATGAAAAAATGGCATTGATTTCAACAGGTTGTAGAGGGGTCTATACTATGAAATAGTAAGTTCTAAGTTCGTTAGTTCTATGGTCGATACAATGGCCTTGTAAGCAAACACAATTTGTCATTGAGTCCAAATGCTGACTGACGTTTTTCATACTAATTGTTTGTCCATTATTTATACACTCGGCTGATTTTTCCGTTATTTCTCGATCAAGACAAGGAACACACGGAAGGTGTGACCGGGGATACTTACTATTTCTTGGCGCCTGATCCCATCTCTGATGTTTTGGAGGTCCGTGTTTGCTCTGCTCCTATTATTTATTTGTAATGGACTTTTGAGCTTGAATACGGTTGGTTGTGTCCATATATTTCACAGACTAAATGATGAAAGTCGTGGGTTTAAGAACTGAATATCAGATATTGTGGTATTTGTAGGCATGACCGATTAAGAACCCACTTGCATTAGAAAGGAGTCCGAATAGCAAACAATCTGGACTTCTCGTCTTTTGAGACAAGCGGAAAACAACCTCGAGTGTGTAACGTTGGCATTCATGACACCCACCACCACCAACATAATATTTTCACCTACTTTTTGCATTATACTTCTACTACCAATTAAACAGCTCGCAAACTTTGAAAAGAATTATGATATGATTAAATATTTACATCCATTAGTTGTTGATTCCATTTCCTTTTTTATCCATTTCAATAAGTTTTATAATAAAAGTAATTGCGGCAGCTGGAGATACTTAGTTGAATTTAAAAATATTTCCTAGTCTATTCAATACTCTAATGATTGTGACTCCATTCTGTATCAAATTTTATCATCAGGTTATAGAAAAAGATCTAGAGAGAAAGTACAATACTTAAACCCGATCCTCTATACAAATTAGTGAAGAATGTTTGCAGGTTAGTTAACCACCATATTTTTTTTACTTTGATATACTAAATGAGATACAGATCATGATTGTTAATCACACATATACGCATAAAAAAAATCAGCAGAAAATGCCCAAACTCACTATAGCAGAATTTCTTTTGGCATATTACTTCAGATTTGGTGCCAAATGGTTATGTAATTAGTTAGCAGTCTAGGTGAAGAAGAAAAAAGTATATTTTTTTGTGCGATTAATATGCAATCCTAAAAGTTAATTTAAGCATTAAATGCTTTCTTTGGTAGCTAGAATTGGAATAACTGTTGCAACTGTTGCTGTTTTTTTTCCTGCAATAGCTGCAACATAGATTCCCAAGCTAACAAATAAAGAAAGACCTTATAATAATTCAAATCATAAAAGAAATCATATTAGACAACTATGGCATTCCATACAATCTATTATTTCAGACAAAAAGCAATGATTGTGTCCCTTGTGAGAGCGCTCGCTCCGTGTTTGAAGTGATTATTCGTATGTTGTTTTAAGTCCCATTCGAGAATTTTTCACTAAAAATAGACGTCAACAATTACCGATGACGGACTCCAAATTTAGACCTTTACTCGACACTCAGGGCCATTGAGCAGAGAAGGATCTTTATCGCGCCAACGTCTGTCGTGACACAAAACGTTGATTTTTAAGGTTCCCTTTGAAGGACCATTAACTTTCACTTCAAAATGCTGAGCGTTTGGCGAAGGAACAGTTGCTACAGACTTGGGTCAGTCGCAGTCACAATGTCACCAATGAGCAACTTTTGATCACAGAGCAAGTGCCCGTAATTGGAATGTCGTAGGCTAAAGCTCATTCTGCGACAAATCTGTGTAGATAAATATTGGTAGCACATGTTTTTTGCCAAGCGCTCAGCAAGAAGTAAAAAATTCGGAGTCCATGGATGAGCCCTAAAAATTTCAAAACCCATGTCAGGTCATGAGATAGTTCCCTTAAATCCCTCACGGTTAAATACTAGTAACTGTAAATTTTTTTTTTTAAAAAGTGCTGACGTCTTTAATTGGTATCTGGTGACGTCTCATATTTGTGTAAGTAATCATCGGTTAAGGAAAGTAAAACATCAAACAATTATCAAAGAAGGATATGACAAAGTTAAAATTTTCAGATTTAACAATGGTCCTAGCAGATATTAACTGAGATGGCAAAAAGACTACTCTATTCAATGACGTCTCACCTCACCCATGAATTCGGGCCAGAGGATAGAATCAGATTTAATCAAAGGTGAGCTTTGTTCAAATGCGCGCTAATTTAACTCTTTCTAACTCTTTAAAATCAATGATACAATATCATTTGTAAAAACTATTACATTTTAAAGGTTGTGACTGCTTTAGAAGAAGAAGGACGGCGACCTAATCCTCGTTTACTCTTATACAAGAAACAAGAATATCGCCAACAACACAAGATAAGTGCTGTCTATGATAGTTAATTATCATGAGTTTGGCTTTTTTTAAACTCAGAAAATATGACATTTTTAGAATTTTATTGATCAACTTTTTATTTCATCTTCAGTTGAAGTATGATCTCAAACAAAAGATCTTTCGTTAAATAGAACGTATAATCAGGATTGTCTGAACCCGTCTCTAAAATGACTCTAGAACTATGTCATTAAAGTCCGTTGAAAATCATGAGTAAATAATCGTACCATTTTTCTAATCGAACTTTAGAAAATGTCTGAACATATGTCGAAAAATTGTCACGTTAGAAGCAGAAAAATAAATTATGTTTCATGATTATAGCATCATGAAAAGAACAAACCTGTGTTTACATTACAACAAAGAATCACAACAATTTTTCGCAAATTAAGAAAAAAAAATAAGATCATATTGTCCATGATGGTTTATCTAGAGGTGGCATTGGCTTCCCGCCTAAAGTTGCTGCAGCTTGTACTTGCCTCCACTGTTTTTGTTGCTGATCTTGGAGAATGGCTAATTCATTGGAAAGTTGTGCCAGTTCAGCTTCTTTTCTGGCAGCCATTGTATGATTATGAGTATCAGAGTAGTAACCGATTTCTTTGGAAGTATGGACGATCTTATGGTTGATGAGTGTGCGCAGTGATTCTTGTTTGGCTGCAACATAATCTACATATTCTGCTCGCCCAAGACCGTGAATTACTTCAAATGTAATTGGCCATTTTTCACCACAGACACCTCGATGATCATCTTGATCTAGTGTCCATAATGCAACACCACCAAGGTGATTTGAAGCAACCAACATCGCCTGCAATTTGATTCATACAAGTAAGAAAACTTAACTATGAATACAGATTGGTTGACATCACTAATTTCCAATTATCTTACACAATGCGATAAATAATAGTTATATTTCTATCCTACCTTTTCCCGTACACTTCTTGGATTATCAAATCCGACCCATTCATCCCCCATTACATAGTATGGCACTTTTTGTTCTGGTATGTATTGTTCTTCGACGCCACTTCTTATAATATGGCATATCTATACAAAAATGGATTTTGAAAATCACTTTGATTGATGTATGAAGATAATTCAAGAGAAAACTTTGCTGCGGACTTAATATACTTATAACTTCATGATGGTCACCTTGTTGACGGGTATCCCCTCCCCTCCGTCAGAGCCTGGCCCTATAGCAGGTGCCCCCGGCATGGTAATGTTAGGGTTTCGGAGTCTATATGAACGACCATAATAAGGAATACCTAAGACCAGCTGGTTCTTCGGGACCCCTGCTTCTGCCCAACTCCTGGCCAATGTATTCTACAAATTTACAGATTTATTACAAACACATACTGTATTTCCAAACAAACTTATAACAGAATTTTCAATATAGATATAGAAAATGAATTCTTTGTATAAAAAATCACATTGAAATGGATTTTTTTTATTGCTAACGCCTGTTTTACGAATTTTTGTTAATATTAATTTGGAAAAATCTGCATAGGCAGTTTTATGCACATTACTGGAATGAAAACGTTGACGTACAACATTGATAGGGCTCTCAGCATGTGACAGTGGACTATGGTGGACGGCGGCCAGAGGTTCATCCCAGTGTCCATGTAGATCATACGTCTTCAGGTTAAAGAAATCCACCTCTCTGAAAATTACAATGAATTACTTTCTAATTTAACTTGCTATGTTGCAATGCAGAAAATTCAAAAACTATGACAAAAGATCTGCCCATTTTAATTCTAGTGAATGGTTATGCAAATGCCGCATACAGATAAAACGGTTGTTTTCGCTTCGAAACATTTTTTTGACGAGCCTTAGGTGTTACTTAAAGTAAGATCCTTCTTGTGGATCTTTCGATATAAATCAGAATAAAAGCATTGAATTTTGCTTTGACATCCTTCTTAGCTCGTCGATAAGGTAACCTTATATGCATAATATTAACTTTTGGGAAAATGCTTTGTCTCCATTTTAAAGTCATGTAGGTTGCTTGTCTTTGATTTCATAATAATGGATAAGCATTTAAGGATGTATAAGTTGAGAACTTTCCTTACACTAAGGACACTGCGTTTACTTGCCTGGCCAGCCTTTTGAGGTTATACGAGTTGATGACCCTGTAGGCGCTGGGGTCCACAGAAAGAGAGAGGGACAATGACCATTTACTATCAGGCTCGTGTTCTGTCTCTATGGCGTGCCGCATTATCTGTAAAAGAAATTATAGTTTTCTTGTGTGAAAATGATATCATACTTCGTGCGCTACATCATTGTATATCTTTGCAACTGTAACTCTAGTTTTTTTCTATAAAATAACTTCTTTTTCAAAAGGAAGATGCCGTATGTAGATGCCCTATGCTGCAGTTTGGATCAATCATTATTGTTAGGGATTTATAAGCGAATGTGTATAGTTTGTGAAAGAAATACAAGTATATATAATGAATAACATTTCTAGACATGCATTCAATATTTCTCGGGTTTACAGATGACTACCAAAATGTGTTTTGTGCTTTTTTTGGGAAATACTCTTGGCTTTCCATATATTAAGAATTTTAAATTCAACCCTTTTAACTTCAAGAACTTATGAATATTCTAACATCTTGTAGACAATTGTATTCACGTTTCCTTTTTGCCAAGTAAACATCTAACCTCCATGAAGTCGGCAAATCGCTCCCTGTCTTCCGCCGAGCTTTTTCTGAAGGCTGGGTACTGCCAGTCTAGGTCAATGCCGTCAAAGTCGTGGAACCGGAGGAATATAGTGGCCTCCCTTGCGAACTCTTCCATGTTCTCTTTAGACCTGAGCATGTTGGACCAGGCTTCGCTGTCCATTGTCCAGCCTCCCACGGACAGAACCATGTTCAGGTCCTCGTTATGGTCACGTAAGGTGTTCATTCTCTCAGGCCTGCAAAACAATAAAATTTACTGTTCTGTAGAAAAAAAATATTCGAAATGCATTGTTTGTAACTGATAAAATAAAAAGAACATAATTTTTGTATCTGCTACAAAAAGTAAATTGGATGATTGCGTTGGATTTATTTTATTCTGATTGAAAACAGTTATGGCCCTTACAGGTGCATATCTTCAAACAGATCCGGAAATTTGATTCTCTTGCCTGTGTCGTCGATAGTGCCGTAGGCTAAGGCCAGATGAGTGCAGTGGAAGGCGTCTACGTCCTCCGGCTTCAGCGCTTGGTCGCCGTCTCTGTATAGAGCCCAGGCGCTATAGTAACACATCTTAATGAATTCTGAAATGAGGGGAGAAAAGTACAGAGATAGCTTTATTTTCAATTAATATCTTGGGTACTTTGAATGCTTTTAACCTTGAAATATCTATGTACATTATTATAACTCTTTCATGATTCTACTTATTTTATTGTATTTTAGTGATTTATATTATTGCTTATGTATTTGTATTACTGTTTAGAGATGTTTTTAGCCGGGCTTATTGCTCAAAGAGCAATTGCCGGCTTATGTGATCCTGTTAAAGGCAGGATGTTAACCCCATAGTCGCCATTTTTAAGTTACGTGCAAAAATATAATTCTTACTCTCAACCGCTTTTGAGATAATACAAACGCTAAATAAAGCAACAAAAATAAAACGAAGTTTTATCTATATAAAATGAACATTAGTAGTAATGACTTTGAAAACTTCATAAGTCAAAGAACATAGTTCATTAGCGTAAGGATTTTGATAATCAGTGTTACCGTAGTTCTCTACACATACGAGGTAAAGCAGGAGAGGGAACCAGACTGGCCTGTTTGTTTACATTCAGCTGCGGTACCAGATTAATTCTGATTCTGACAAAATCGGACCGGGGTATTAGGATTGAAAAACTCACTGTCATTGTCTTATCATTTACATTGATAGTTTTAAAATAATTTTTTCATCAGAATATAAACGTGATTCATGTAAGAAATCCATTCTACTCTGTAAATGAGCCCGGCTCTCTGTACTTCTGAGTACTTTGATTTTTACTGTTTCCAGCTTAACGTAATGGTTCAAGGTGCATTACTGTATCACCCGTTGTACTGTACTGAAAAACTTGACATTGTTTTGATAAAAATTTCGTAGCGATGTATCTCACAATATATCCCTGATGTTCTAAAAATTATTCCGAATTACGAGATTATTTCCTTTATCTATGGCAATTTGCCAATCTCTTACATTTGAACCACCTATTATTTCTTAACTTTTATGTGAAGCACTTTATATGTTACAATTTAACGGCACCAGTTTAGTTTGCATAGTTCTTGGTTTATTATGATGTATGGCTCTATTCTTTTTAGTGTCATTTTGGAATTTTAGTATTCTAAACATACTATTACAGACATTATGTAATTATATATTAAATCTTTTCCATTTACATCTGACAGAGGATGACACAACTTAATGAGCATTTTAATTATAACCATGTTAACTTCAAATTTATGCTTTTGCATTTACAATATTCAGAACTGCTTTTTTGCACAACCTTTTTCTTAATTTTTTGTAAGTAATAGAAATTTTATACATACATCGATAGCTACCACAACCTGCCTTATTTGTATGGTTTGTGTGTGGTTCCAAATCCATTTGATTATCTCATAGAAATGCTATCATCAGACTAATTTTCATATACATATATAATGTGATTTACTCTTTTCATAGATTATTTTCTTTGTAATCTTAAGATAACCAAAATCAACTCTCACTTGTTGCTCGACTTGTTGTATTTCAGATTCTGTGTTTGTTTGAAAATAGGATTCAAGACCATAAACTGAGAAAAGAGAATTATATCAAAATTTTCAAATTATATAACTTGAGAAATCATCAAGAAAATAAAGTCATTTTTCATTGATTGCTTGCATTTGAATATTTTACGAATTTATATTTCTGGTCAAACGTATATGATATTCGTTAAAATCAGGATATTCAAATTGAAAATTCTGACTTTAATTCGTTCTCAATTTGTGGTCTTGTGAATATTTTTTTTTTAAAAATATCTTTTATTTGACAATTGACAGGACGTCAGACTGTAGTTTCTTTTACATGTCCATGTAATTTATAAACAGAAATTTTCACCGGTTCTAATTGCTGTAGTGTTTCGAGATTCATTAAATTGATCAACAAAACAAGGATGTAACAAACCTCCATGGATTTCTGTCAGAGTAAACAAAACGACAAGAAGACAGGCGCGGATCATGGTTCTATAATCTAAAATAAAGATACAAACATTAAAGAATTTTGTTATTTTCAGCTTTGACTGTATTCAAAGTGTTTATGAAATAGATTTATCTGTAATAATCAATATTCTTAATTTTACACTTCAAGGGAAGATATACATGTAATGTTTTTTTAAAAATATATGCAGTGATATATCAGACAAAAGTGATTTTACTTACGCGATTGAAACTTTGTATATTTAGGTAAAATCCTTTAAAAAGTCAAACATTAAAGAGATCTGGACGCCATTTTCTTCTTTCGTCAAACGCTGACTGTATTATTCATACTTATGATACCTGATTTGAATTTAATTAATAAATCACATCAGGGCATAAGTGAAGTGTGAAATTGTGACATTACTGGTAAGCATTACCACAATGGTGAATTCATTTCTACAAATCACGGAACACTTGTTTAATGGATTATATGTATTCCCTTACCTGTCACTTGATGTTATTTTTGATAATTAATTTTCGATGTCAAAAGGCTATTTGAGGCTTCTTTGGAACAAAAATTACATCACTCATAACTTTTATCATATCTTTAATTTGCATATTTCACGTCACAATATAATTACTTTGTAAAATTTACCCTTTTATCATCATATATCTATTATTTTCATGATCCTCATCAGGGAAACTTTTATGGAAATTTTATCACAGCGTGTTCAGAAATTTACCATGTTTTAGTAAGTAGATATTGACTCTTATATTATGATTAGTGTTTATATATATTATTTACTTCTTCTTATTATTAATTAATAATAAGGATAGTTTTATTTCTTGATTTAATAATTTTAGTTTTTTTTAAGTGAATAATGTATATTTTTGGAGGCAAAACAATATTTAGAGCGACAACGGTCGGCTCCTATTACCTATCATTTCTTCCTTGTAACTTTGAAAACCGTATAAAGCTTTCTGACCCAGAATAAGTATATGTTTATTTTAAATTTTAATTATTTAAGAAGATATGGTTTTTATATAGACAACAAACAATTATATTTATAATCCATTTACTACACATAAAAAAAACAAAACATATCACAAAATCACATTGTCCATGACGGTTTATCAATGGGAGGCATTGGACTGCCTCCTCGAGTTGCTTGACCTTGAACTTGAGACCAGAACTTGGACTGTTGAGCCTGCATTTCCGCCAACTGCTTTGTGTAACGGGATACTTCCCTCTCCTTCTTCGCTGCGTTTTTGTGATCAAAAGCTTCTTGATAGTATGCCATTTCCCTGTTAGCATGTTGTAATTTCTTATTCAGTAAACCTACTAAAGACCCATGTTTTGCAGACACATAGTCTACGTATTCTCGAGGACCAAGTCCGTGGATAACAGCAAACGTTAGCGGCCATTTCTCGCCACAGACACCATTGTAGTCATCTTGATCCATTGTCCACATGGCTATTCCACCAAGGTGGTTTTTAGCAACAAGTTGTGCCTGGAAACAATTAATCAACCAATTGAAGTTCTGTTTTCCTTTTTATTAATCAATTTCAAAACTTCATTAATAAGCGAGCCTCGCCTTTGCAATATGACTTTATCTTCTAACTTGAAACAACACAACGCAAGGAAAAATTACCTTTTCTCGGATGCTTCTTGGATTATCAAATCCAACCCACTCGTCCTCAATAACGTAATATGGGACCCGCTGCTCTGGGATATATCTCTCCTCTACGCCATTACGTATTAAGTGACAAATCTACAAAGCAGTGATAATATCATCATGTAGTAGATTTGTAATTCTACCGGGTAGTCGTAAACACAAACTTTTTTATGACAATTAAGTTAAATATGAATATCTACTGCACCCGGTAAATGCAAAATTTATAACATGAAATCATATTTAATTCATTGCTTTGCTAAAAAGAGCATTGGAATCAGAATGATGTTTTGCTTACAATGTCTCAATACTTAGTTACTTACTTTATTAACAGGAATCCCTTCCCCTCCGTCAGACCCGGGACCCATGGCAGGTGCCCCCGGCATTGTGTAGTTGGAATTCTTCAGCTTAAAGGAGCGACCGTAGTAAGACAGACCTATTACAATCTGGTTAGGAGGTACTCCAGACAAAACCCATTCTCTGGCTAACTCATTCTGAATACCAATAAGTACTAATTTAAAATGCACTTCAAAGTGATGGTATCTTTGTTGATAGAATCCTTGTAAATTGTTACATTGCGAAAAGCCTAATGCGTTAACTTTTTTTGATTAAAAAAATTAGAGATACATGATGTTAGAAAGCAAAAAGTATACAATATCTTTTAAAGATATTATCTTTATATAATTTTATATGCATGTAAAATAAGTATTTTACCAAACTTTATGTTTTTTTCAAACATGAAGTCATGAATCACTTCTTGTATTACATGTATTTCTCAAGAATTTATTCATTTCTACAATTTTAAGGGCATCGGTTCTTTTTGGGATAACAAATGCATACAGTGTGATTTATTTTCCAAACCAACATTCTTATTTATTTCTAACAGGCATACCACGCCATAATTTGTTTCTTTGTTTGGATTTTCTCCACCAATCAGAGGACTGTGATGATCTGCTGTCAGGGGTTCACTCCAGTGACCGTGAAGGTCATAGGTCTTCAAGTTATAGAAATCGATTTCCCTAAGAAGTAAGAATTTATATTTATTTATGTTAATACAATAATACAATACATTTATTTATGCTAATTAAATTAAGTAAGTAAGTGAAAACAACATTTTATATTTAATTTAATTAATTGTCACAGAAATAAGGAGAAGATTACAGCACAGGGACTTGCTCCCGGCGTGTAAAAAATATTTATAAAAAAAAACAAAAAACAATATACTATAAAACTACACAAGGGAAATGGACCCCTTCCTCGCTTCAACCTCTGTTTTCGCTATATTTTGTCGTAACTCACCGCCTGGGATAAGAAATGATTGTTCTAAAACCTTATGTTTAAATTTCCCCCTTGGAGCCTCTGCAATACACATTTCTGACTAAAAATAATCCAAACGCGCTCTTTAGGACAGTTGGTATGGACAGAAAGCGAAAGTAACCTCGGCGTTTTACATTCGAATACGGAATTAGATCATTCGGCAATCCTCGGCTGACTTCGAATGTGCTCTCGCTTTCTGTCCATACCAACTGTCCTAACGAGCGTGTTTGGTTTATTTTTAGTCAGAAATGTGTATTGCAGAGGCTCCAAGGGGGAAATTTAAGCATAAGGTTTTAGAACAATCATTTCTTAACAGATCCCAGGCGGTGAGTCAGTAAAATACGACAAAATATAGCGAAAACAGAGGTTGAAGCGAGGAAGGGGTCCAAAATGGCGTCCTCCCTTGTGTAGTTTTATAGTATATCGTTTTTTGTTTTTTTTTATAAATATTTTTTACACGCCGGGAGCAAGTCCCTGTGATTACAGGAAATCTTTTCTACCTTTAAAAATATTATTTCACCGTTATATTACGACTTTTGCAAATATTCATATATATACTAATATATAGAACAATTTTACTGATGTGCATGCTTTAGAAAGGTAACTCAAAAGTTCTCCCATTATCAGTTTAACAATAATGTTTTGTTGGTAAGTACGTGCTCCCTCGCACCTATTAGAAGTGTGGAAGTGCTGTTGGACTTACTTTGATAACTTTTTGAGGTCGTAGGAGTGCATCACACGGTAAGCGGAGGGGTCAACAGACAGTGAGAACGACAGGTGCCATTTACTATCAGGTTCCGATTCTGTCTCAATCCCATGTCTGAAACGCTAAAGGAAGCCAGGGGTCAAAGGGATTTTCAGGTTAAGAGAAAGTGTTTAGAGGAAATCCTTGACACATGTTAAATTTTACGATACTCTAGCTGTTTCCCTCAAATGTACTTATGTTCAGTCAATACGAATTTTATTGTTCTGTAACTTATTTTTATCGTGTATACAGAGTGTATCTACCATTTTCTTATGTTGATTTCCTACATCTTTCTTTTCACTATTATAATATGTGCTAGATACTAAATGTGTTCTCATTCTTATCTTATAACCACCTCACAGAGTTCCACCAGTTTTGCTCGATCATGCGCACTGCTACCCCTGAATGAGGGATACTGCCAGTCTAAATCGATCCCATCAAAGTCATGAAAGCGAAGGAAAGTGATGGCCTCTGAGACGAAGGCGTCCATTGTTTCCTTGGTTTTAACCACATTTGACCAGGCTTCGCTGTCCATCATCCATCCGCCGACGGACAGGACCATGTTCAAATCCTCGTTATGATCCCGCAATTCGTTCATTCTCTCAGGACTAGGTTATAATTAAAAAATAATGTTCTAAGAGATTCAGTATATAAAATTTCTTACTTCGCTTTGTTAAAAATTTATGATTTAATAATTTTATATTTTTTATCTATATTTTTTCTTATTAATTTTTTTCACTCATTTGACTGATTTAATATTACATTTATGTGTCTCTTACAAATGCATGTTCTCATAGGCGTTGGGAAACACAACGTGTTTGCCTGTATCGTCTATTGTAGCGTAAGCCAGGACTAGATGAGTACAGTGATGGGCGTCAATGTCCTCCGGCATCAGAGCTTGGGGACCGTCTCTGTACACAGCCCAGGCGCTGTAGTAACACATCTTAATAAACTCTGAAATATACACGGGAATATACACATACAGGTAAATGTTAAATTAACTGTTTTAAACGTTATGGTATTCATATTTTATATAAAACTAAATTACACAATGTTTTATTAATGATTGTACATAAATAGAATGTAGTTTCTTGCAAAATTTTCCGCCTTTTTTCTATGTCTGACAAGTTAAGCGAAAGAAATATTCTTTATATATGAATAAAACTCATTTCTTATAAATGTACACTTATGTTTTCTATCTTATACTTTTTATTTTAATGAAGAATTAATTCAACTATTACAATCGCTGCGATGTACGTTCATGTCATTACACAAATTTTGCAGTCTTTTTGGACACAGAATGCTTCTTAATATGTTAAATAGAGGTACGAACTATTATAATATTTATTCCATCTCTGCGTAGTTTGAAACTTCATTAAGGTATAGTCACGCTCCAAGTGCATATATTCAATTTACCTGGAGAACGACAGCTGACAATAGAGAGAACGGAAACATTTATTCGATATATATTAAATTGATTCATGCCATATTTAATGCATTTTCTGTATCATCATAATTTGCACTATATGTTTTCGGTGATATATACAGATCTAGAGGAAACATATTTTGACATTTGACAAAATGCTTCTTTCTGATAGTTTAACAAGTGAAAAGTAACCGGAAACGATCAGTGACCTATCTCAAAAAATTTGCAAACAATACAAATTTTTGAGCAGGCCATGAAACACAGACCACAGGAAATTCTAAGGAAAGAATCAGGTGACTAGGAGGAGTAAACATCCCGTGTTGACCGGGCACACCCGCCGTTTGCGATATATGTATTGATAAGGATTACGAAACATCAAATTTAGTTTGATAATAAAAAAAACTAACAAAAGGCTTGTTAAAAAATTTTCGTTTCTGATATTTTAGCCACATTTCATAGTCGAAGTGTTATGAGAAAGGAGAAAAGATAGTTTAAAGATTGTTAGTTTTTTTGTCTAAAAACCACAATTCTTGTGAAATTCGACGTTGTGAGGTTATTTTTTGTGCATTCTTACGAAGGAACACCGCCCATTCTAAACAGTAGAATATTTTTATGTGAAAGAGTGAACTCTTATATTTTACTAAACTCTTTATCTTTCCAAAAACATTCTTTAAATAACCAAACACAGTAAACACAGATAGATTTACACCTAATTTTATAAGTAGAATGGCGATAAGTATATTAAAATAGAAAATGAGTAAATTTATGTAAATTCAAAATTAATATACATCAACATCCTTATATTACTCAGAATTTTATTTATTCTGAGAATTGTCTGAAATTTATAAAGTATACGGAAGAAATTGTGATAATTTTTCAAGCTCCTCTGAGAAAAGGATTTGACATTAAAAGTAAATTTCTGTGAAAAGTGGACTGATTTCCCACACGAAAACTTACCCCCACATACGCACGAAAATGAGAAGAATAAAACCACGAAAGCCGCAATATTCATCTTTTCAAAAAATTCTACAAACAATGGGAAAAGAAACCAATCATCCAAATTTACACATATCCTGTATCAAATAAGCACATCTGTTCAGCTGACCAATATCTTTCACCTACAATTTCAACTGATTTAAGTTTTCAACAAATTTCAACATTTGTCTGTCATAATTAATCATTTTTTTCACATTTACATGAAAAATACAGTGAAGAACATGTGATGAAGAGAGAAAACGCATTAGACAACATTTTAATGATCCGAGACAGGACAAATATGTTAATTTGTTCTTGTCTGTTTCTGTAATTTAATAAGCTTCAAAAACTTCATTATGAAGAATCTAATTTTGTTGAAAAAAAATTTTAATACAGAGTGATATTCAAACACTTTGGAATAGAGTCTATTATTGCATAGATTTGTAAGTTACTAAAGCGCAACATATTTATTTTAAAAGATATATGTACCACAGAGTCTAACACTTCTGTTTATACTTGGATATTTTTTCAACAATAAAGACGTAAATCATAAACTAACAACAAAGCTTTCTGATAAACACGATGACTCTAACTTTTCAATCGTCAACTTCACTTCCTTATGCAACAATATATATTCTTATCACCAGGGTTTTTAAGTCATCATTTCATTAGTTCTATGGTGGATACGATGACTTTTGTCAGCAAATATAATCAATCGTTTAGTCGAATGCTTACTTACTTTTTTCATACTTATTGTGAGGCCATTATTTACATAGTGAATTGTCGACGGATTTTCCCATCATTTCCCGCCTCTAATGTTTTATAGGTCCTTGTTTGCTCTGCAGCTGATTTGTAATGTTTAATGGACCTAAATTTAACTATATTGATTTAAAACAGTAACAAAATAACTGAATTTTTATTCAAAACAATAATACATAAATTATATTAAACAATTTTGTGAAACTCAGTTAGTGTGAGGATATTTAAGAGAGGTATTTGATTGCAAATGGCTTGCATGTGAATTGGAAAAAGGAGCAGCCAACCCAACGAAACCTGTGATATTCTTTGATGCATACAAGAACTGTAAAGTTGATTTTTTTTTTTATGGTTGAAAGATTATATATTTAAGTATCTTCCAACAGCGCCATTTGGTACCAATTTTTTTAAATGCCTCTCCTTATAAGCGGACCTTAATTTAAAAACAAGAAGAAAACACTTGCTGTAGCCTTCAAATGACATAAAATATAACAATTAGTTACCTCCATTTATTTATCAAATATATTTTGTGAACTTGTACCAAAGATGGTCTCTTCATATACATACTTTAAATGTACAAGAAAACCTTATGATTTTTACTTGAACTTCCTTTAATTATGTAACTATGTATATTTTATCACCTTCACATGGCATCTATATCTCCAGGCTTATTATAAAAAAAGCTTTTGACACACAAAATAACTTTTTCCTTTAAGGTAAACTTTTTGCAAGTTCTACAATATATTCCATTACCTTATCTGCAAATAAAATCTAGCATTAAGTCGAATGCTGACTATACCTTATTTCATACAAATTGTTAGACCATTATTTAAACACTAATTTTACTATACATGTAAATTAATGTCGGGTGTTGGTTTCATCCTATTGCACCTAATACATAAAGTAGGGGTCTGTGTTTGCATTTTGTATTTTTCAATGGACATTTAAGGTGGAATGCCGCACCAACTTTTTATTTTATAGATCACTCAGTCATCCTTTTCAAACAATGGCTTCAGCACTGAAAGGCCGATATTAGCTCTTAATAATTTTGTATGATTTTTTCATTTATTGGTTTTTTTGGGGTATTTTTTCAAAGATATTTCATCCAAAAATCAGTGACATCATCCAAAAATGTAAATCAAATCAACTTGCAAAAACGTTAGAAATTTAAGCTAATATGGTTGTTAAGAAATTATATCAACGGAAACAAATCTTTTCTACAAGGTCCGGTTTGCCCATCTCCTGATTTGTATTGCTTGGATGACTTTTATGATTATTTTCATATCTGTAGATGCTGTTGATATACTTGTTTCATTAACGTCTTGCTCATCCATTGATACATGCATTATTGTTCATACGATGTTGATGATAGGTATTTAAACCACGCCTTCCAAAATCAGCGTTTTGTAAATTTTTGGTCATTCTAATGACCTTTTTGCCAAAAATAAACTGATAAAACCTAAATAAATAAAAAAATAATAAACCCAAACCTAAACCTGAACAATTTGCCAAAAAATAAAACTAATTTCTGGGTTGACATATTCCATTGCAACTGTTAGACCTTTGTTTATAAACTAACTTTGACTATGGGATGTTCCGTCTACTAGATCAATTACATAGGTTGCACTGCGGGTGTGATCGGTCAACAGAAAATGCTAATTCCTCTCAAACACCTGATCCTACTTCTGGTTTTTCCAGGGGTTCGTGATTATGTGCTATTGAAAGATTTGTATTGTTTTTACGAGATCGATCAATTTCGCTTTCTTTACCTTTCTCATTATAAATGGTCTTTCTTACTTTTTTTTATGAAGAACTTATACTCAAAGATGTAAGATACAGTACGATCAAACTAATATTTTCTATCAACATCAAACTAATATTTTCTATCAACATATGTTATCTATCATTATGCAGAAGGTATATTTCACTACAATTGTCTTGACCTCTTTTGATTGAGAATTCTTTTATTATATTCAAATGCAAATCCTAGCAGTGAACATTAGGTTTATTGAGAAAAACAACCAGATTTTGAATGGAAAATGTTTCAGACAAAAGCTCGTTTAGGTTGAGAGCCGTCCTACTGGTTTTCCTCTTTTCCAGGTAGAATTGTCAAGCCAGATCAAGAGAAATTTTCTACCGAAGATGTGATATCACAGCAAGGGTATTCAATTTTCAAGAATTGCTATATACCCACTTTTGTGTCTTTATAAAAGCGAAGTGGATGCAGCTAAATACACTTAAGATATAACAATAATTCTGTAGAGATTCTTTAATCTGTAATTTTTTTCCTTTTTTCAAAACAGTATTAATAATAGTAACACCAATAGTAAATCACAAAAGAAATATTGACTATATCAAGTGACAGAAACATATACAGGTGTATTTCATATCCAAGTATTACTGACTTATGCCGAATATTATTGAAATAAGGTGTTTGAAACAGAAACTAGTAGCTGATTGTCAGCAATTTGACCTGTCCTACAACAGGTATCGTATTGTCACCAAAGAAAACATAACAATACTCTATCGATCAAACAATTATCATTAAAATTCACAATAAAATACATATTTTACATTAAGTGGAGAATAAATTATTTCTAGTTTCTGTCATTTACCATGTAAATGATCTCTGATTAACCGGAGGAAGTTCAAATGGTTTATTCATCATTGCCTGAACGCTCGCCACTTGAGCTGTCATCTTGCCCATGGCAACTTCTTGCTCTTTTTGGAGACTGATAATTTTGGCATCCATTTTCTCCACCATGTTCTTTTTTCCTGCCATTAAGTAGGCTCGTCTAGAAACACGAGCGCTGTTGATTTTAGTTCGGTAGATCTCTCCAATGGCCATGTTTTTACGCTGAGTATACAGCATGTATGCCTGAAGCCCGTTGATGACAGACATAGTCAGTGGAAACTTGCCCGCACCACAAGCCCCTGCATGGTCATCCATATCCAGGGAGTAGAGTAACACGCCAGCCAAAGATTTGTCAAAGACAAAGGCCGCCTATGAATAAACGGAAAAACAAGGGAGAATGGAGATCTGATGAAACCCAAATGTGGATCATATTTCATAGATTTGCCTTTGGTAAATAAAATTCATACCTTATTCATAACGCTTCTTTGATTATCGTAGCCTATCCATTCATCGCCTTGAACGAGGTAAGGAACTTGTTGAGAGGGGATGAAACTTTCATTCAATCCGCTTCTGATAAGATGACAAAGCTGCAAGGTTTAGAGAAAGAATAAAATTAACTATGAAAATGCTCAAAGGATTTAAAAATTTAAATTTTTAAAGGTAAAAAAATGGAGAAAACATACATGTTTAATTGGTATTCCATCGCCATTGTCCGATCCCGGCCCAATAGCAGGAGCTCCTGGCATAGACATAGCCTTGTCTGCCAAGCGATAAGATCTCCCAAAGAATGGAATTCCGACAATCATCTTGTGGGCTGGAACCCCTTTCTGTTCCCACAACTCCACTAAATCTGCCTTTAATACAAAGAGGATGTAAAAGAAAATATGTTCTTTCTCACAGTGAAACAATTTGAATTGACATTCTTTTTAAAAAAAACTATTGAACATATAAACAGACAAACTTCACAGACGTTCTCTATAGGCAAAAAAAATATACATGAATTATATTTTATTTATAGAAGGAATTGCCGATAGAAAAATGGCCTTTATATTTGTAAAAAGGCCAAGGAAGCGGCAAGCATAGGGATATGGGGTAAATATTGTTTTCATTACTAGCACAAAGTTAAATTAATTTACTTAGTATGTTTGATTACTTCCACAAAATACTTGTATATTTACATTTTAAACATTTGTGAAAAGTCTCCAGTTCGGGATTGAAAATATATATTTTCCAGAAATATTATGTTATGAGTACATATAATCAAATATGTTTTTAAAAAATAAACAACATAACTATTATCATCAGATACTCACCACATTGTTGAAACCTTTAGGTCCTACCAGTGCGCTATGATGTCTTGCCAACATCGGGTCATCCCAGTGCCCGTAGAGATCATACATTTTTAGGTTGATGTAGTGGGCTTTACTTAAAGAAACGATTATAGCAAACTAAAGCATGTATTACTTTGATCAAAACCTGAAGAAGGCAATTCGATATCAATTCTTTATTAAAACTTCACCAAAAAATAGATCAGACAAAATTGCCAAAGTATTTAATCTACTAGGAGATCTAAACCATTAATTTTAAAATAATCATTTGACATGAACTCTGAAAACAATGACTGTTTGCTATAAGATTTACCTTGACAAACGTGGTATATCATAACCGAAATGCATCACGGGTAACAGAGGGTGAAATGTTAGGGTAAAGGTCAGTTTCCACTTAATATCTGGGATTTCCTCGATATCAAATTCAAGAGCAATTACCTAAAATACGATAAAAATGGTCAGATTATTTTTAAAGTACGATGTTTTTTTTCTCTCTTATTTTATTCAAATGGCTGGCAGGAAACGGTTTTCCTAAAGCTACTCACATCACAGAGGTCAGCGAATCTTTTTTTGTCCTGCATATCACTGTCCCTCAGTGCTGGGAACTGCCAGTCGAAATCTAGACCATCAAAGTCAAACCGTCTTAGATATATAATAACCCACTTGGTAAACTTCAGCATGTTTTCTCTGGAAGAAACCAGCTTGGAAAAACCTTCGCCACCTTTGTCCCAACCCCCAACGGACAAGATCATGTTAAGGCGATGATTTAATTTTCTCAGACGAATTATTCTTTGGTATCTGAAAGAACAAAAACAATCAATTCTATTAAGAACTTGGAGAAAATGGATACCATTTTCATTTGTAATATATTAAATGGAAACTCTAATTTTGAAAAGAGAAACCTTGTTGTCTGTGGAGGAAATGGTTCAAGTCAAACTATTCATTTTACAACAAAAAGAGATTTCATTTCAACTCGCAGGTTTACTAAGCAACATACAGGTAATTTTCTTGGAAATGATCCGGGTCTTTGAGCCTAATTCCTGTCTCGTCGATTTCAGCGAAGGAGAAGATGATGTGGGTACACATGAAGGGATCGATCTCTTCCGGTTCGAGACCATGAACTCCATCACGTGCTATCGCAAAACCATTGTAAACACAGAACCGCTGAAAATGCTGTCCTGTTAAGCATAAGAATAATTCCTCCTATTATTGAACAAAATTTCAAACGTTTATAAAAATAATAGTCAAAAAATAATGATGATTCAACGTAATTTGAGATAGCTAAAAAGGGAGGACAACATTGAAAAATTTCAATTCATTTCCGCTACATTTTCTCAAAATTTCAAGTGATCATTACCACTACATTTTATTGAAAAAAAAAACTATTGCCGATTACAAGTCATTACCACTACATATCGAATCAGCAGCAAATTCCCGAAATATAAGTACAATGTACTTATTTTTATAAGGCATTCCATTACAGCAGTATCAGTATGTCAAGCAAATGACCTTCAAAGCTCTACCAATTGTGTAAAAACTGTGTTTTATCCATGAACAATGCTCGGTTTTAAAATTTCTAAAGTTTTTATGAAATAAAATAGATTTTAAATATTTTTTTTAAAAAGATATCCTGCTCATTTTTTAGTCTTTCACCTCTCTTTGAGCAGGAGAAAAGGGTTTTTTGCATATAAAGTGTACATATGTTTTACTTTTAATAAATCTGTGCATGTGCTAACGAAAGAGTTAATGCAGCGGTAATGTATACTAGTACTTTTAACGGAGTGGTAATGTAACCTTTTTGTAGCGGTAATGAGTATGTAGAGGAAATGAAAATTCGAAAATGTAGCATTAAAGATTAGCACCCATTTTTACTCCCTTATATTGAATGATATCGATGATCTTTATGTTCTCCGTTAAGCTCAAAATTCCTTTGTTTTAATTTTTGGTGGGATTCTTTTCTAATCTACTCCAATGATTTATTATTTTCACTTCGTTCGAATTACTTAATAAAAAAAGTACAAGACACTACAACTACGATTCAACATATATAAAAAAGTAAAACAGTAAATTTAGATTTGCTGACTTTTCCTGCGTGTATTTATATATAGAATATGCAAAATTAAATTAAAAGAGACTACTATTTAATTACTCTGACATTCTGGTTCCCTGCAATTATATCATTGCTTGTGATTTATTAAACGTCTACATTTATGTTAAATTATACGTCATCTTAAACTTATTCATTTACATTTCATATATCACTCAATTTCCTTAAGGTTTCTCCTACTGAAGTGCTTATAACATTCGTCTGACATATAGGGTTAAGGAAATGATATTGAATTTATATTATATTCAGTCCCTTTTTGCAAATAGTTCGTAGTTTGAATCAAAATCCAAACATTTCAACAATTAAAATTTCTTCAAGTTAGAAGGAGAAATTTTCCTCAAAATGTATTACAGTGACTATGTTAATCTCCATGGAACTTACCTTGAACAATAGCTAGTGAAATCACAGCGACGAAAAGACTCAAAATTTTGTATGTGTTCATCTGAATCATAAAAGAAATCATCAAAGAAATCTTTTTATTTATGAAATATTTAAACTAAAGAAATTATGGGGAAAAATGGACACATTATCTCATCGCTCTGAAAGTTTGAAAATATTTTATTTGTTTACAATTAAAACAACACAGTATTTCTATTTATTTCTATTTTCAAAATCATACTTTTTTCTCTCAGGTAATTACAAAATGAAATTTTGGTACTTATTTACAATAGGAAATTATATCATTGATACACTTTAAACACTGACTTACCTTCTCACGTAAGGGTCTCACATAAGTGCTAAAATAGAGTCGCCATTAAAGTTCACAGGAAATGATGTACAGAATTTCATATTTATGCAAATGGCATTTACCTGAGGATCAATTCATAAGTTAATGAAATACAATCAAGACAAACCGTATAATGTCTGGTTATGTTTTCTATTTTCAATTTATCACACTTGACAATAAACTTGTATATGTGGTTCAGAGAAGTTTAAACCAAAAAAATGAACAAAAAATGAGTTTGAAATCATATTGCTAGAAGTTTTCTTTTCAGTATTAACACTATGGATTTGTTCGATTCCATGATGGATCTAATTTCTTTTACGCATATTAATTTTGCAGTGTCATCAGAGATAATCGAAAACATATAATGATGTCTTTTACACACATTTTTATTGAATCTGTTGTTTTTAGTATAATTTTTTATTCGTGACAGCGCAATCAAGCGCACATTTATGAAAAACTCTCATCTTAATTTTCTTTTCTTTTTTTTTCCTCTAAAAAGATTTGAAGGAACTTTTTAATACTTTATTTAAATAATTAATCTATGTACGTATAAATAGATTTTAAATCTAAATACAATATTAATTGTAATTCATATCAGAAACTATTTATGCAAAAGGTACTTATTGTAAACACAATGCCTCAAAATGCCTCAAAATATTTCAGACAGTTGTAAATTTACAAAAAAATGCAATCATGTTTTTCTCCGTTATAGCTTATCTGAACTGAAGGCTAATGTGAGGAAAATCTTTAAAAATTTTCCTCTCAAGAACAGCAAAGCTATGGTTGGTCATATCCATTTGAAAGCATCCTCAGATAGTGTAGATTCATGTTTGCTCTAATCCTGTCGCATGGGGGTAGGCCAAGGCAACAAAGGACGATCAAAGTTTTCTATAGGTATATATAGGAAAATGATTGGATAGCATTATGACAAACCAGGTGACTTTAATGTTTTAATCATCAAATTCTCTAACATTTGCAGCAATATACCTTCATCACCTGCATACTGGGTTTATGTATCTCAGTTGATTCGATACGCAAGAGCATGCTCTATGTATGAACAATTTTTAAAACGAGGTAAATTATTAACAAACAACTTGCTGAAACAAAATAAATATCAGCAGTATCGTTTTTACTGATCATTTCGTAAGTTCTTTGGTCGATACAATGACCTGGTCAGCAAATACAATTTATCATTGAGTCAAATGCTGACTGACGTTTTACATACTAAAACTGTTAGTCCATTATTTACACACTGAAGTCAAATTTTTATACTAATTGATAGGGCATTTTATACACACTGAATTTCATACGGATTTTCCGTTATTTTCCGATCATGACAAGGAGCACAAGGCGGGTGTGACCGGTCGGCAGGGGATGTTCACTCCTCCATGGCACCTCATCCCAACTCTGATGTTTTGGGGTCCGTGCTTGCTCTGCTTCTATTCTATTTTGTATTGTTGAATGGAGTTTTGAGCTTGAATACTGTTTGTTATCTCTATAATTTTCATTGGATCTGTATAGCTCTACAGCTGCTTTATCTGTCCGAATTTTTTCAAGCAGAGAGCTATTTCTGCAGCTAGCCCATGGTCCTCTAATTTTTTGTTTCGTATTTTTTTTTTTGTTGTTGTTGTTGTTGTTGTTGTTTTGGTCTTGTTTTTTTCTTTTACTGTCATTATTATTTGGTTATGTTTTGTTGTTTTTTCTGTTGTTGTTGTTTTTTGTTTTTGGGGGTGGGCTGGGGGTGTTTTGTTTTTGCATTGAACATTATTTGAAATCAATCGATATTCATGGACAGACAACATGCTATAGATCAACAGTTCAGAAATTAAAAATATTTTTAAAAAAAGAGAAACAACAGAAAATGAACAAGAAAGCATTAAAAAATTTCAACAAAAATAATTCAGTTAAAATTACTTTAGTTTAATCATACAAAATAGTATCTGGTCATAATCATATTTTTGTTGTAGTTTAATGAAAATAAGACACTTGTTATTACTTCAGTGCTTTTTTGGCAATTGAGGATATACACTTTTTTTTTACAAGAGGACCACAGGTGCTAGGTCCACTTATTTTGACAGTAGACAAATTTGCATATACATAATATTGACAGCTGCTTTTTCAATAAAAATGGAACTCGTAAATTTATTTACCTCGTCATTGGTCATTTGCAAATTTATTTTTTGAAAAAACACTCTGATTGAACACACAAGTACTCTGGAGTTTCTGATTGACAATATCTATGCTGTTTTTGGAGACCAGGTCTTCCAACAATCTATTGGAATTTCCATGGGTACCAACTGCGCCCTGTAATTAGCGAACTATTTTTGTATTCATAAGAAGAAGAATTTGTCCAAAATCTTATGCGTGAAAAGAAGAAAACACTTGCTGTGGCCATCAACTCTACATTTAGATATATCGAAGACGTATTGTCAATTAACAATGGTAATTTCCATTCTTATGTCGATACAATATATCCTTCTGAGTTTGAAATAAAAGATACTACAAAGTCTGACACATCTGTTTCAATTTTGGATATCTTACTTGAAAAAGGCTTTAATGGTAATCTAACAACCAAGCATGTTCTATGTATGAACATTTTCTAACACGAGGTAAATAATTGACAAACAAGTTGATGAAACAAAAATATCAACAGCCTTGTTTAAAATCATCATTTTTTAATTTCTATGGTCGATACAATGACCTTGTCAGCAGGCACAATTTTTCATTGAGTCAAATACTGACTGACGTTTTTCATACTAATTGTTAGTCCATTATTTATACACTGTGTTGACGACAGATTTTTCGGTATTTCCCGATCATGACAAGGAGCACACGGTGGTTGTGACCGGTCGGCAGGGGCTGCTTACTCCCCCATGGTACCTTATACCAACTCTGATGTTTTGGAGGTCCGTGTTTCTCTGCTCCTATTTTGTTTTGTTTTATTGATTTTTGATATTGAATACTGTTTGTTATCTCCATATGTTTCATGTTTGTTCATTTAATTTGCTTATTTGTCATTTGTTGTTTTTTAACATTAATTTTACAACTTTATGTATATGTACAATTGTGTGTGGTTTATAATTAACACTGTTTTAAAAATGAACATACAATTTTTTAGTTTTTCTAGCTGTTATTTTTTTTTTCACCTTCACATTTTGCTATATGCTTACATGTAATAAAATTGTCAAGATAACAAACGGGGATCATTATAATAAAAATAATTTACATTTCAAGTCTGGGAACAGGGAATAAAAACACAAATCCCTGAAAATTTCAGAGGTAAGATCAGGCACTGGTACTTTGAAAGAGTAAAGGTTCCTTGTATAGCGGTTACACCCCCTGTGAGACCAATGCATTGATTAGGTTAACGAAACATTCCGTAGTCAAATGTGGTATAAAATCCGAGGCCTTATATTTTGCTTGAAACATATCAGCCAAATGAAAACCATGACATTGAACCTTCCAACGATTATATTTTCTTTTCTAAGAGCTGTTGGGAAAAAAGATAAATTAAACTTTCATAAGTCCCTGAATTTTCTGTGCCAAATTCAGGAATAATTAGAATATAATATATGTTGATATCGTCCACACACACACAAAACAAGAAAATGTTTCATTCAGTACTCATATTTTTAAAAATATACAATAATTCTTCATTTTATGTTAATTGATACACATGTATGCTTTTTTGCCTGAAATGACAAGAATATCATAGATTTATCGTGTCATTATCTGTGTAAATTAGGACAATTCTAGAATTCGGTTTTTTTTCTGGGGGAGGAGGGGGGATATCATGACTGCACAAATGACAAGACACACTATCAATTGGCAAAGGAGACATAACTCTAGCAATGTTCATAATAATTTCTCTTCTCCAATGCCTGTTTGAAATTTAAATAATTCTCATCGTTCCTAAGTGTGAAGGTATTCAAAACGCTTTTCTTTTTTTTAATTAAGAAACTGAAGAAGAAAACATTTTGGACGGACTAATATTTCTACAAAATATAAACTTTAGAAAAATATACAAGGTGAATTATATGAGGAAAAACAAAATGACAAAAATGAGCAATATCACATAGGCTGACTTTTCCATTTTGCTTTTCCTAATAAAATTCACCTGGCTTGGTATATTTTTCTAAAGTTTATATTACACTTTTAGCACCAAGGTAACATATTCTGAAATTTGTTTTCACCTGTAAATCTTCACCGAGTGTGATTTGTCTATATTTGTTTTTTTATTGAAATATTGCTAACATTTTCCATGTCTATTTCATTTTCCATGCAGTTCTTAGGAGAAATTTTTTAAAGAATTATCCACTTTTCTAAACCTGTGACATGATATTAAGTCTCCTTCAAAGAAAAAAAATTGTTTGTATCATCTGTCTTTATGGAAATTTTAGAGATCCTGTAATTGAAAAAAAAACCCATTGGCTTGAGCTTGCAATATATCTTTGTTCGTAGGAATTTGTATAAAAAACAGTAGGGTATGGTAAGTGTTGACAATGAACGACTGGAAATTGATTTAAGGATGACGTTTACACAGGTTTCAGATAATAGAAAGAAAATATTATATAGTATTTATGTTAAATCAAAAATTGTTCTAAATGGATAAAATAAGCAAGTTTTAAATCGAAATCAATTTAAAAATTTAATATTTTATTATTTAAAGAAAATATAGAGGTACAAAAGTCAATGTATGGTAATGCAGAGGAAATTCGGACTAATTTTTTAATTTTTCATTTTTGTCAAAAATTTTGATTTCTTTCAATAATAATAATTAAAGGTTAAATGTATTTTTAAACATCATTTTGCAAATATTATATGTGTTAAAGCTCATAAATTATTTCAAATAATTGAATGCTACGAAATAAAGAAATTCAAAAATATGTACAAAAACCATTCCAGACAATATATATCTCAATTATTTGATCATTGACCCCATATAATATTAATACCATGAGAATTAGGGCATCAAAAGTAATCTGAGGCTATGGATAATTTAGAGTTCTTATCAGTCAGATTTTTGTAATATTCGATTTAAAATGGGGAAAAAATATAAATATGACAGAGGAAATTCGG